TATTCGGCCAATCACAACGCACTGGATAGCTGGCCAATCACAGCACACCTCGCTTTTTCAGACCGATGAGCTTTGTAAAAATCGACGCGTCTCAAAAAGGCGGGGCATAGAGGAGAAACAATGTACAGTATGTGGAAAATAATGTTTTTTTTTTTTAAACTTTAAACCGCATAAACGCATTTCATTACACAAAATACACAAAATGTTTTTTTTTTAGCAGCATCATATGACCCCTTTAAATGTGCTGCATTATTTTGCTCATTGCGCCCTCCTGTGGCCTTGGGAGACAAGACAAAAGTTTCCTTAAAACCTATTTAATCTGCATATAAAACATTAGAAATTAGATTTTTTTTTTTATTTTGTTTGGTTGTTAAAACAAAAAAATTGTTGTTTGTATCAATAAATTGTTCATTGAAAAATGCAGTGGTTAAATTTAAGCTTTTTTTCTGCCGGCTATGGTTGCTAGAATAATAATATAGAAAAAAAAATGTATACATTTTGCAAAACCTGTATGTTTTACAAGTTAAAACTGTCATTTTAACTAAATTAAAAAATATTTTAATCTGGTAAATCCAACAGTCCTTTTTTGCGGAGTTGGTTTGCTAGTAAAATCTGGTTTTGTAACTTTACAGGATAGTTCACCCAAAAAATAACATTTGTCATTTACTCATCCTCATGTGGTTCCAAACCGGAGTTTGTGCTTAACAGAAGAACAAAAGATATTTTGAAAAATGTTGGTAACCAGACAGTTGATGGTAGCCATTGACTTCCATAGTATTTTTTTCTGTACTATGGAAGTCGATGGCTACTGTCAACTTTGCATAGTGTGCACATGCTGTATACTGCAGAAATGTTGGTGTGACTGATTTATCTAATGTATTCGTATATCTTAGTCTTTCTTCTCAATGGCTTTTTTTTTTTCCTCAGTCGGGGGAGTAGGCGGTATCAAGCGGCACGCTGAGGTCTCAAAGGAGGTGCCATCAGAGAAGAAGAATCTGCCTGTGGTTGCCAAAGACCACAGTCTTAAAACAAATACAGAGAACCGTCCTCCTCAAACTGAAATGCCAAAAAATATCCGAGACAACCATCCTCCATCTCTTAACATCCAGAAAAGTGATCCAGAGAAGCACATTGTAGCTGCTCCAGCTCGGCAGACTGTCACGGACTGGCAGAAATCTCCAGGGCCGAAATTTGTGCCGGCGCCCATCACGCCACTCGGAGCGAGATCTCCACAACCACACGGAGATGCTGAGAAGGTGTCAATTCGGCTTTCCCTTGATTATTCAGCTTCAGAAGTAGGGTTGCAAAAAGGTGGAAAATTTCCACTAAATTTCGGAAATATTCCAGAAATTTGGGAAACTTGCCAGAATTGAACTTATTCCAGGGATTTTTGTAAAGTTTCCAGAAATTTTGAAACCCTACTTCAGAGTGATTTGGTCTAATCCTAGTTATAAAAATTAATGATTCAGTTATGGTTTGGAAACTGATTTTAAAATTAATTTGTCTAATTTATATTTAAATTATCTATTTTATATATTTAATTTGTTTGTTTTTTTCGTTTGTAT